ATATATATGTTTTTTTTTTCACCGCGTGTTTGCGGGAGCGCCGTGCCTTGCCGCTTCCCAGGCTCGCGCTGCCGTGACGGGATCAAGCGCCGCGGAGTTGGCGCTTGTCCCTCTCCTTCCCGCTGCTCTCCCTTCTCCGGAAAGTTGGTCCCTCGCGGTGTCACCCGGCCCGGTGCGCGCCGGGCATGTCCAAGGCGCCCGCAGGGGCAGTTTGGTGGCCTTTCTATGTGGCATCAAGTGTAAAGCACCGGTGCGAGCTGTCGTGATGCTGGAGCAAAGTTAGAGAAGTTTTGGGGATTTTGACCTGCTTTTCCCTCTGCTGCGGTCAGAGCGGGGTTTTCTCGCACTGTGTTTAGGGGGTTTTGATGTGACGTGTTGCTGCATGGGCCGAGGCTGCAGCGCTGAGCTCTGATTTCAGCACCTTGCCGTCCACGCACGGTTGTGGCTCAGGCATCCCTCCGTGCCGGACCCGGAGCAGCCTGGAGCCCTGGCAAAGCCTGGACACGGAGCAGAGGGAAAACTGCAAACCGGGAGTGCGCCAGGCTTGAGAGACAGGCCCCCCAAACCTGCCTGAATTACCCTTGCTTTAAAAAATACGGCTTTATTGCATTTGCCTAGCAGGTTCCGAGCTGCAGTTTATACTGGGGGCAGATTTTCTGGTTATTCCCTAGGGCACAGGGCTGGAAATGCAATTTTCTTGAAGAATGGAAGCTGAGATTTTAGAGGAGCTGAGGGCTTTGGAAAAACTTAGGCTCCTTGGTGCTAATGACACAGTAGTGCTGCTTCCCCTGGCATTACAGGAGCAACGGTAGCAATTTAGGTGAAACTTCCTGCTAAGTTACCCTTGCTTTTTCTGTTTCCAGTCTTCAGAAGCAAAAGCTTAACATCTATAGCCTCCCTGAGGCTTTGCTTTATCTCTTGAATGATGCTTGCTAGAGAAACTCTGTTAGTTTGCTCTAAAAGTAAATGAGATTAAATGTTTCAGAGGATTATTCCTTTTCACATACCAAAAATTTCCTGTGGACCTATGCCCAGGCACTTAGTGCCTTTAGTAGAAATTTAGGCCCCTGTTTTCTCAAAGACTCAGCTCTGCTTTTCTTGAAATTGCCTAAATTTCTAATACGTTAAAGGGGCACTGCCAAATATTTATTTTGATGTAACTGAATTAAAAATAACAGTTTGCAGTTCTTGCATCCGGTGGTTACTGAGTTCAAAGGGCAATTGAAGTGTGTGAGGATTATTTAATTGTCCTTCACTGAGAGGGCCCTGTGGCTTTCCAAGGAGCTGCTTTCCCAACCCCAAACACCCATGGGAACGGGGGGCACCTACTACTGTGCTCCCAACTCGCGTGTTTGAATTGCGCCGTTTGCAAGCATGCATCGTGGGGGATCTCGACGTGAAAATGCACATTGAAACGAGGCTGAGAGCAGCTCTGTGCCAAAACACCTCATCAGACCTCATTCACACTTTTAGAAAAATCAGGTGGCCAAATGCCTATTGCTGTTTTCTGTCTGTTTTTTCTCGTAGCATCTTTCTGTGTCTATCAGTTCCCCTCTTCTCCCCAAAACAGCTTCCCGTCCGGAGCCCAGGGCGATGGATTGCGCTTTTCAGCGGGAGATGATAGGATTGCACTGGAATTGTGTGAGCTGAGCAGCAGAAATAGCTTGGATTGCCCCCCACCTCCCCTTCCCGGGAGAGGGGGCAGCCGAGGTGCCCCCGGCGCGTTTGGGAGAGGGTCCCCTTAGCGCTGCCTCTGGGTTTGGTCCAAAGCTCCTGCCCGGCTGGTAGCTCAGCTCCTCACGGCAACATCCCCTTTACACAATGATGTTTCTGCTGTCTCCTTAGTCCTTGTTCTCAATCTTTGCTTAGTAATTTTTCCTTGAGGATGGGAATAGGGACTTTCAGCTTGTGGGGTGATGGTGCAGAGCAGCTCCAGACACAGAGCATTGCTGGGCTCTGGCAGCTCAGAGATTTTCTCTAATGATAAGCAGGCTTTTGAAGTGTAAGTAAAAGCTGTCCTCATAACAGAATTTAACTTCAGGTAACATTGCTGTGGTATATATGTATTTGCTTTTTAATTTGGAATTACATCACTAAGGTTTGCAATAGGAGTCTCAGAGTTTAAATCTATTGTAGGTCTTGTTATAAACCGTGTCTGGTGTCTTGACTAAATCCACATGATAACAGCCTTTTTTTTTTATTGCCTTCCTTTCATTAAGGGGAGACCCAGACCCCGAATTCTTCACTTCTCATTATATTGCATTTAATTTTTGGTTTAAATTCACTGCTGAATTTAAAGAGAAGACTTTAGTCACAGAATACTTTTAAATTTGTACCTTTATCAACATCACATGGTGATAAGGAAAAGCAGGCAGGCAGTTTGAGTTGTCTTGCATGTGTGTCAATAAGATGGCAGAAGTACCAATTTCAGTAGTTCTGAGTGCAGAAAGCAGCCCGTGCCCAGAATTGCTTCTGAAAAGCTGCGCTGAAGGAAGCGGATCGAGTGGTGTGCGAGGGGAACAAGCTGAAATCAGGCACTCCTATGGAGAAGACTTACTCAGTGAGTAAATCATTCCTGTCCTGGACTGACCTGGTGTAGCCTGTGCCACAACCTCATCTGAGGGCAAATGACTTGCCCAAAGGGAGGAGCAGCGAGATGCGCGGCCCCTGCTTCTGCCTGGAGCAGCTTGACAGCGTTTAAGTGTGTGAACGAAGGGGCGGCTCGTACACGCCGCCTACAAGATCCTACAGATGTTGCAAGAAGCGCCCTGTGCGGAGCAGTTTCTTGGCGTGGGCCGTGCAGGGTTAGTCACTAAAGAGCTGGGGCTGCTTCTTGTTGTTCTGTGGAAAAGGGGAGAGGAGGCTGGTGCCCTGGGTGCATATTCCTGGAGCTGTACGTGAATTTCTGTGGAAAAAGGGTTTCTGTGCTCTTTTTTTCCCCTGTGTTGTTGCAGAAGGTGGTAGTGCATTAAATGGGCTCTTGGGTTTGATACCTCAGTGGTTGCTGGCCCGTTATGGGCAGCGACACGTTCCATGCATGGAGTTTGGAAAACGCTTAAATTCATGTAATTTTCCTAAGTCCATTGAAAGCAGCAGTATTTTCTCCTTCATTCCATTTGGATGCAGTTCAGGGTTAAATTGCTTCAGGATCCACAGGGATAAGTGTTTATTTCATCTAATGTCAGTAACTAACTATCAATTAAAGAGCTAATTTGCGAAAATGTTTGCGGCTGTTCTTCATTCTAGCAGCGGGTTGTTTGCCGCCTCCTCTCCTGGAGCCGGAGCATCCGGATCCCTAAGGCTGCGGAAACAGCCTCCAAATTTCAAGTTGGGATAGTCCAGAGGCGCAGCCGAGGCCGCGGGTAAAGCTGGCACTGAAGCCGTTAAGTGGGATATTTTGGGCGAGGAACTGGTGTGTAAAATTGTTCTTCTTGTGTGGCAGGTGCTGCTCGGTTATATTTAAGAACCCCCTTAAGGGACAGAAGTCAATTATCGGCATGGTGACGTAAGAGAGTAAGTGGGTCAGCTGAAAACATATGCTTATAATTTTGCAAGTGCTGTTATAGTAATTCATTGTGGTTTTTTTTTCTGTCTGATTTTATGCTTCTACTTCTTGAACACTGTTGGACTTGTAAGGATATGTGGCTCTCTCTCCTTCTGATATCATAATTGTAACGATTATTTTTAATAGAATTTTTCCTTGAAAAGTCCCAGCAAAAGTCCCCCAAAGGTCACACGACAGCACTGTGTTTTGTTGAAGGAAAGTGAGACACGATGTCTACTTTATTGCACGCGAGCCCCGTGGTGCGAGCTGTGCCGAGGTGCTACCCTATTTCTTCTCAGGTGTGTTGCAGGGGTTGTTAAAATCTCTCACAGCACCCGAGCGTGATTTTGGGGGGAAAGCCCATAGAGAACCTCGAGTGGAAGTTCTCCTAAAATACGCTAAATGGCTCTAGCTGCAAAACCCGGATTACGACTCCCTGGGGGAAAGTTCGCACCTGAAAAAGAGACTTTTATACATGGGGATAGGTTGAAAAATGTATTAGAATGGGTCTGCAGCTGCGAAGGTGAAACCTCAACCCCCAGCGCTGCTTCCCTCGCCTCCTCGAAGCACAGCCCGTAGAGTTACCAGTCCTGTCCCTCCACACCACGTCTGTCTTCCTCATTCAAGGTCTCTGTTCAGGGTGCCCTTTTCTTTGACAAGTTGCATTAAATTTCACGGGGCGGAGAATGGCTAGCTCTTTGTTTAAAAACACATTGCATTAGGATAGTTCTATTTCTGAAGAAGTAACAGAGTCGAAGTCACAGCTGGGCCTGTGCATTGGTCCCTGTTCTGCAGAGCTGTGACCTGTCGCTCGAACATTGCATTAGGATAGTTCTATTTCCGAACAAGTAACCGGAGTCGAAGTCACAGCTGGGCCTGTGCGTTGGTCCCCGTTCTGCAGAGCTGTGACCTGTCGCTCGCGTGCCCAGCGCGTTGCCGCGCGAGTGCTGCGATCGGCCGCGCGCTGCACGTGGAGGACCCTTCGCTAGGAGCAGGGTCTGTGGGCAGTTCTTCCTGAAGAACTCATAGTAGTTGGTGGAAACGCTTCTAAGCTCGCGTCAGAAACGTCAAGTGGAGGTACTGAGTGTACCTGTTCATTTGGGTACATCTTGACTTTACATAAAACTATATTTAAACATGGAGTTTATTTCTGGATTTTTTTTTATCTACTTTAGTTAAAGATAGCTCAAGTGAGGTTGGTTTCTGTTTAAAATAGAGCAATGTGGTGTTGGGTCTCGCAGCGCATGTGCTTCCTTCGAATGTAAGAGCGAAAGAAAAGAAAAACGTGTTTAACTTAAAAAAAATGACATTCTGACAAAAAAAAAAAAAAAAAAAAAAGCAAAGTACTAGTATTTTAAAAGGGTTTTGTTGTTTTGGGGATCAGCTCCGTTGAGCATGTGGACATGGGATTGTGTGGTCCTTCCTGCAGGGCCTTACTGCAAGTTCAAATATCATCTTCTGTAGCTGAGAAAAATAAGTTCGGATGTTGGTTTGGGGAAATTTTAAAGGGGTTAGAGTTTTGTTTCTTGTTGTTAGTAAATCTAAAACCCTTTCACTTGGCCCTTGGGCTGCTGTGTCCCAAGTTTTCTCTCTCAGGTGTGTCTTCTCAGAGGTGATGTGCCCTGGCTCACTTACCTGCTCTGAAAAAGGCTGAAATTAACATTATATTCCATTAAAGAATTAAAGATTACGTGTCCTGAATTATACTTTGTTATTTTTCCTGGTAGTTCATTGTAGTATTTGCAGTCTATACTGTAAAGTCATGATTTTATTTAGGGAAAGGCTGGTCATACTGGATTCTGTTGCCAAGCTAGCAGAAAATACAGGTTCCAGAGAGGAATCAAACATCAGCCTTGGCTCATCAGTGGTGCATGTAGGCAAGTTTAGTGACCAATTCCTATCAAACTTCTTACAGGTGTTTGATTTCTTCCTTTGATCCTGCAATTTTTATCTCAAAATGATTTTCCTAAGGGTGAAACTTCTGGTCTCCTGTAATGTGGGTTTCTGAAATGCAGGAGGAAAGAGATGGGGAGTGAGGACTGTGGTCCATCCCGAGCTCGATGCCTGGAGAGCAGGACATTGCTCAAAATCAAATGCCATGAGATTAGCCATGTACATATCTGCAAAAGAGCACACTAGATCTTCAGTAACTTACCAGAGTGAGCTCAACTCTGCTGTGAGTCATTAATTTCTAAAATATAACTCACTGTCATAGAATTTGCCTGTTCCTCAGACACAGGGCTGGATCATTATTCCTCTCTATACAGCATTTAGAAGCTGTTAAAGCATTTGACAGGTGAATAAAAGATTCAGTCCTTTCTCCAGAGAATGTAAGCCTTGTCTACGTGGCAGAGTGACATTGTTTTAGCTCACTTTTATCCCTAACTACTGAACAGTGGAGCTTAACTAATACAACAGCTAAATCTTTTAAGTTAAACCATAGGTTTAAGACCAGTTTATGTTGATTTAACCTAGATCCATAGATTTACCAAAAAAAAAAAACCCAAACAAAAAAAATGGAGCAATTGTCCCTAGCTTACCAATGTTCATTTCAATGCGGTGATGCTTTATAGCAGTGACATTTTCTTTTGCACGGCGGCATGCAGCAAGTTGGCCAAGGTGGCTTTTGGCTTTGGGAGGAGCGGGTTGGATTTTCCTGCTTCCTTGCAGATGTGGAGATGTTTCCCGGGACAGCCCGGCTGCTGCGGAGCTGCAGGACCCCGGATGCTGCTGAGCAGCGCGGCCACGGCCGGGTTGGGGAGCTGGTGCCTCCTGCCAGCCGGAGCGACAGCATCCTGCTGCTGGGTGGCACCAGCACCGCGGGTTAAAATAACCTTCATAACCTTCTGCAAGCAGTTAGGTTTGGAAGAGAAGATCTGCAGGAGCCTTTGGTGAGGCACGTGATGAAAACCGTCACTGGGAGATGACTGAGGTGACAGAGGCTGTCAAATGACATTGTGCTTTGCCAGCGCTCTGCGCATGCAAGTGGCTGAGCGTGTCGTATCTCAACAGCGCTGAGGCATCGTGCTCGCTGCAGCTGATGACTTGTAGGTGGCTTCTCCCCTCCCTTCCTGCTGGATACTAACAGTGGGAGTCTCTTCTAGAGCTGCCACTTGGCTTGGGAGGCTGGTGGCCTCTCTTTGCCAGCTGCACCAGATACAGGGGCTGTGTTGGGCACACGCTGCCGTCCCCTTCCCACTGCAGTGCTGCCATCAATCCCAGGCATTCCCAAATTGTGCCTTCACGGCGTTTTTCCTCCCACGGTTGGGTGGGGAAGAGAGGGGCAAGCTTCACAAATGACAAGTAACAGGGGAGGCCAAGTTGAGCAGTTCTTTAGGGCCTCTCCAGGAGGTTCGCTCCGTTACATCGGTAACAACTCTTGTCCCTGCTACTCGGCGAGCGTGGCCGGCGCAGCACGTGGACGCGGAGCAGGAGTGCGCGCGTGTCGTGCGCTCGCCTCGTAGCTCCCGCTGCAAAATCGCTGCTAGGGAGATTGTCACAAATCGTGTCGATGACAGCTAGCCACGTTAGCGCTACCCCGTACCGCGTTCGATGGACTCCTTGGCGCAGACTCATCGGAGTCTAAGCCCTTAAAATTCTCGCTTAAAAAATTTATATCCCGTTCCTCAGCAGATGTGCTGACCGGCTTATTGTCTCCATGGCAACAAGGTTTCGTTTTTAAAATAGCCGAAAGTCACAAAAGAGAAGTCGGATATTAATAGCAGAACCAGCGTAGGTACGAATGAAGCAGCAGGATTTGGCTATTCCTCATCCAAAATTTCTTCTTTTTGGAGTTGTCTGTCTCAAACACCCATACCGTGGGTGTTTAAGTGTATTTTTCTAGTGTGACCTATAAAATCACTTCCCTTTATTCATGCAGTGTTATTACAATGGAATATTTGCACGCTTACAACAACACTTAGAACACTAGCATAATACAAAACACGCACTATTTAATGTGCAATCATTTAAAAAGGTCTTTACGACATGGAGCGCACGCGGTTGCTGCTGTTATCCCCGTCTCGGTACCGGGGAAGCTCGAGGCAGAAGCACTCTGTGACCTGAGAAACCCCACGCGCCTGGACCGCCTTCTGCAGCGCCGTCCCGGCCCGGTAACCACGTGGTGCTCTCGCTGATACACCAAAAATACAGCAAAAGAAGTACGGTAACAGAATGTGCACAGCTCCAGTTGTATGATTATAGTGTAGCAGCAAGAACTGGAGCCATGCTCACAGATCGGGGGAATGAAAGCCCTGAAAAGGCTTTGCCTGCGCTTGCTGCCATGCAGTTTCTATGGACACCAATAGTTTGTGTCAAACGCAATCTTGATGTGATTGTCTATGCTGAATATAGAGGAAGCAGAGATGATTACATGGGACTCCAAACCTGTATTTGTTAAAATATGTTCTGTTGCTTTGAAAAGAATGTGGTAGAGACAAAAATAGCTTTTTTTCCTGAAAGTCTTGGGCCTTGGGTGGCCTGCAGGGTAAAAAAAATAGCTCCCTGCTTCCTTTGTTGCGGGGCTGTACGGGAAAGCCTGCAGTGTGTTATCTTCAAAACTTGGCTTTTAAACAAACCATAATTTTATTTTGCTGGAGCTCTGCCTTGGCATGCTGCATTCCAACTGGAACTTCTTCAGCAGCTTCGGATGCAGCAAGGGTCTTATTGCACTTGCTGCGAGCCAGAAGCTCTCAGAGGATGATGCTGATGATAGATACAGGGTAATTTGATAATTGAGAAAAGGTATCAAAACCATTCCTAGTGCCTGAACACCACTGTATCTTCTTGTCAGCTGTATTAAGACTTCAGCTGCTTGGGAGGAGTCCAGGTTATGCCATGTTTTGTTGCACAGTGTAAGCACTATTCTGCTATAATCTGTGTCTGATTTTTCCCTGTGTCCTACTTGTGTTATCTCTGTACTCTGTATTTTTATGACTGCTGTTCGCTGGGGTGATGGTTTTGGTGCTTAACTCTCAACTCTTTTCTCCCAGCTTGCGTAACGCATCGTTGTTTCATTTATACACACTGACAGCAGGGCCTCTCCTACGTCTAAATATTTCTTTAGGCTACTGCGCTTAACATGTTCTGATGTCCCTTGCAAAACTTGATGTGTGATTCAAATAATGTAAATACATCCCGTAAGTCAGAATTTTAAAAAATTTTCCGCAGTTTGCTGAATCTGCGAGCTCTGCCCGCCTCGGTGCGCCCCGTGCCTTCGGGGACATCGTGCGTGTGATACCCCAAGTCTTGTGAGTGCCCTGGAGCTTTGTGTGGCAAGGACTTTGGCATGGAGGAGCTCGCTGGAAGTGGTGTTGGTTTGTGATCGTGCTTAAAAGGGAAGCATGTGTCTGTACGCAGTTGGAGGCAAGAAAAGTGATTTTACTGAGAAACAGCGATTCCCGTCCCTTTGCTCCGCCAGTTCCGCGCAGTGCTCCAACAGGCTGGGTGCCGCCAGCTCTTGCAAAGCAGTTGTCCAGGCAGGTTTAGATATGAAAGCTGTAGAGGATGCAAAGGGAACCGAATCCAAACCTTGGTTCTTGTGGGGTGGCTTGTTCTGTCGGGCGTTGAGGGACGTTCGCTCTGTGAGTGATCAGCTTTCAGCAGCTGAAACCAAATCTCCCCCTAAGAGAAATCCGATAAGCCTGGGGCTTCTTTCTTCTTTTATTCATCTTAAAATGATGAAAATGACCTTGGCTCAAGGCGCGCTTCATAGGGATTAATGACCAGTTGGGGTTAATGGCCCGAGTTATATTAAACTTCCAGCTAGTCATTAGTCTTCGGAGTGTCCTGTGGCAGTTATGGCTTAAATGTTCTGTTCGTATATAAGTATATATGTATATGTATTCGATCATCCCGGGCCATTAGCAGTAGCGCCACCCCCTTCCTCGTGGCCCTGGATCACGGGGAGGAGACGCCGCCGGCCGTGGGGAGGTAACACACGCGCTCGGCGGCGGCTTTCCCAGGAGCGCGGACGGGGCCGCGGTGTCGACCGGGCCGCGGTGCCGGCGTAGCGGGGCCCGTGTCTGCGCGCCCTGAGCCGGGGAATCTGGGGCTTCTGCACCAACCTATTTCTAGCAGAGAAAAGGGTCAAGCTGGAGACGGCAAAAGGAAGGATGGGACGGGTTAAAAAAGCTGCAGGAGGATGAGGGAGCTGGAAGGAGATGGGAGAGCAGGAGAAGGGGCCGCGGCTAGAGCTCGGGGCATGGGATGCGGGGTGTCGAGCACGTCCCTGTGCGCCGCCTGCCTCCAGCTGCTCTGCTTCCAAACCTCCCTCCTGTCCCTGGCCTTGGTTTCCCGGTTTGCTTCCTCTTCCCATGTGCCCCTCATCCCTCCCCTCTGAATTCAGCACCCTTCGTGTCGCCCAGATTGGTCTGTCCCATTCCCTCGTGCCCAGCGCCTTGCGTGGAGACGGGAGCTCCCACTGGGAAGGCGCAGGGCCAGGGCAGCTGCTCCAGCACCGCAGCTATCCGGCCTCCTAACAAACCATCTGCATTTGCCAACGTGGAACTGGGATTGCACAGTTATACCGGACAGAGGAAAAGAGAAAATCACAAGTTTGGATTAAAATAACTACTTGAATTTGACCACAGACACGGTGTTTTCAATGTCTCCCTCTTGCATTCTGTATGTCAAATCTTGTGTTTCTCTCTTAAAACTGACAGAGGACTTGGCATGTTGTGACACTTGCTAGCTAGCGAGAGCTGCCTGCTACGTGGGGTGCCAGCACCAGCCAAGCAGCGCGATGAGAAGGGAGAAAGGGAAGAAAAACAACAGGAGCAGAGAAAAAGGAGACAAGAAATGGGGAGGAAAAGGAGAGATTGGGAAAGAAGAGGCAGAATGTGTCCTGAATTGAATGTAAAAATGCTTGCATGACGAAACCTACATGAACTAAGAAGGTTAATAGAGGCTTGCCAGAATAGGCAACTTTTACACCATCATGGTGTTCTGTGACCATGAGTTTTTTTCACCCTTGCTTGTAGGATCCTGGAATGGAATTTGCTTTGTATTTGCCTTTTGAGGACTGTTTGCAATTGGATCTGTCCTAATCTTGCTCCCTGTGGAGCTGGGGAGAGGCTTGGTAGAAATATTAGCAAAAAAGAGTCAGCAGGAGGGCCAGAGGATCTGCTGCTACCCTGGTGTATGGCGGTTGTCCTAAGGGTGTCCAGGCTCTGCCTTTCTCTTCCCAGGGTGTTTCCCTGGCCTAGGATCTGGTCTGTGAGGCTTTCGCAGTGCGCTGTTGTCTCTTCTGCTGTTATTGTCCCCAGTGGTCTGGACTGTGGTCCTGCATGTGCGGCACCGTCTCCTTGGTGGTAAGGACAAGGTTACCCTGACCAAACCCTCAGGAAGCAGAGGATACTTAGCCCAAAAGCCTTACCAAAAACCCTCTTCCAAGCAATACATCCCTTTGTTGCATGTCTAGCTTGCCAGGCGCTCATCCAAACTTCACATAAGGCTTTTACAATTTGACTAAAATCCCTCACACCCCTGTATGTGGTCTGTCCCCTGCCAGTTCCAGCCGTTCAGCTGCTGGTCGGAGCGCGAGTCTCCTCTCTCCTCCAATGACCGTGGTGGTTTCGTTTTATTTCGGGCTCTTTTCATTGCCATGTGGCTCTTGTTGGAGCTACAGCCAAGAGCAGCAATTGTCTCGGGGAGCAGCACCCCGAAAGGTTGGGTGCTGTTGCTGTTCCAGCGCTGAGGAATGGTGGGAATTGTTCCCCAGGCAGAGCACCACTGAGCTGAGCCTGTGCTGGTATCCACCCCGTAAGGATACATTGCAACAGCAAAATGAAAACAGAAAAATCTGTTTTTTTTTCTGCCTTCTCTAAGT